AAGGGTTGTTACTTTTCAAAGAGTTGTGACTTTTCCGAAGGATTGTGAGTTTTTCAAAGAGTTGTGACTTTTGTGAAGGTTGTGACTTTTTTTATAAGGCATAATAAGCACTTGTTCATATTGCCCTTTTTTTGGCTATCACATTTTTAAACCACAAATTCTTTAAGTTTTCTATTCTTCTTAACACCCAATTTAGTACATATTCAATATTTTCATACTATATTTTTTAAAGTAACTTTATGGACCATTAGTTCGATTTATTGATCATCTCAAAGATGTTGGATAACTAATAATACCAAAAGTCTTAGCCAAATCCTATAAAATATTACATACTATATTTATTTAGATTACTCCCTCTGTTTCAAAAAGAATGACATAGTTTGACGTGACACAAAGTTTTAGAAAATAAAAAAGATTTTTGAATCTTGTGGTCCTAAATTAAAGTGATGTCAAATGTATTAAATTGCCCTTTAATCTTGTGGCCTTAAACATGCCACATGAAAAGCTGAAATTAAAATGTTACCAAAAAAGGAAAGAGAACATTCTTTTTGAAACAAACTAAAAAGGAAAGGAGGTCATTCTTTTTCAAACACATGGAGTATAAAATACAATTAAAGCAGATATCTTTTCACATTGAATGATTATGACTTTTCCGAATGGTTGTGAGTTTTCCATTTCCGCAAATATGATTAATACAACAACATTTTAACTCCCAATAAAATATAGTAATAGGTACAAGTACCTTATCAAGTTGTGACATAATTTATTCTCTCTTTGTTATCTCTTCCTCAAATCTGATTCCATCAAGAATGGTTAAAAAGTTTCCACAACAATAAACACAAAAGTAATTCAATACAAATTAATAAAAGATAATTTTTTATAGATTATTGAATAAAACACAAAGTTAAGTTGTCGGACAAAGTGATGACACGAGGAAAAAGCCCATAGAAAGAAGTAGGTTCGAACCAAAAAATTGTCATAGTTGTGATCAATTGTTTTAGAATTGAGTTGTTGAAATAGTTTTTCTTTTTACATGTTGAATGGAGGGAAAACATACAAGTAAATTATAGTATTGTTTCATTAATATTTTTCGTGAAAATCCAAAGTAAACTTCGAAGGAATTGACGAAGTTTCACAGAAATTAGGGATGAAATTTGTCACAAAAAAAATACAACAACTAGTATAGTTTGCCTAGTTTTTATAGCTAGTTCCCGAAGAGACACAAACAAAGGGATACAACAGTCTGAAGGGACACAAGAATTGGAAAAACGACTTTAAAGGTAAAAATAAAATAGGGATAAAAAACCTAGAAGTACAAAAAAAACATAAATTTGATGGAGGCTTAATTTGTAGGATGGTGGTCACTGTTGTGAAGAGTTACATTGTATAGGGAGGGAAACACCCGAATGTGGCGTTTCTGAGAGGAGGGAAAGACTAGTTTTGAAAATAAATAAATTAAAAGGGAATCTTGATTTGTGGTGACGCCACGTAATATATATATATATATATATATATATATATATATATATGTGTGTGTGTGTGTGTGAGAGAGAGAGAAATTAATTCTGTCATAATAAATTATATATTACTCCACTAAAAAAATTTATAAGTGTACTCCTCAATTTAATTTTGAAATCTTTCATTAAATCTTATTTAACTCCTCAAGTTGAAATTACATATATTAAATAATTAAATTTAAATTTTGACTTTTATGTTTTATACTTACGCTTAACTTATTGCATGTAATGGATACCAAATCCACATATATGATTTTCACATGAGAACTTGTAAAGAATCATAAAAGAGCATCATCAATCTCTAAGGTTGATATATAAATTTTATCAATTAATTAATTTCATTTTTTTTAAATATTATTTATTATCATACCATTTATCAGGCATATACTAACTCACGGCAGAATTGTACCTTTTGATAAGTCAAAATAATAAGCAAATCACATTGATCATAGCAATTATAACAAGATTAAAAGTATACATACATTTAATGATCTAGAGAAATTGTTGCACATATTCCATACAAAAAATTACTTTGATAATGAAATTCTCCCCCAGTCCCTTCATAAATTCGTTTTTTGCTTGATGTGAGCTCAATTTTGTTGGGTTATGAAGGGTGATTAGGACATCATGCGGAAACATACAATTGCAAATCATATGACGATAAAGCAGATGACAAATAAAAGTATACTAAAAATATATTATTAATATAGTTTGGTCAAACGACCTACATATTATAAAACTAATATAATATTGAAAAAAAAACATAAACATGTTTATGAGAAAATCTCCTCATAAACAAGACTTTCTAAACGACTATATTGTGGATTCTATTGTTGTGTTTTTTGATATGAGAAGAGGAGTCTTCAATTTATAGATCTCCTAACTTTTCCTGTAAGGAAAGAATAAACCAAATATGGAGAAAAAAATATTTTCCTTTCATGATAAGTAAAAACACTTATGGTAATGTTTTGTCTTTTCTTTTAGGAAAAAATAAACTTCAAATATGGTAAGAAAATCAGGACAAAATCCTAACAAATCTCCTCTTTTGGCTGGATTTTCTTGACAAAACTTGATCCACCATCTTCAATTGTATGATAATCTTTGTTCTTCACATAGTCTTCATCACTGCTGCTTGCCATGGTTAAAAATAAAGTTTAAAATATATGGGTTAAAAATATTTTGTTTTATTTTTAAAATTGCAGCAACAGGAATGTTGAAAATATGGTTTAAAACTTCTTCTCCACATGTAGCTAGATAAAAATCTTCATTATCTTCAAATTGATTTGACACCATCTTGAACCTATCTTCAACCTCATTGAACCATAGGACCATCGGATCATGAATCGTTAGACCATGTGCTTTGATACCACTTGTTGGGTTATGAAGGGTGATTAGGACATCATGCGGAAACTTACAATTGCAAATCATATAACGATAAATCAGATGACAATAAAAGTATACTAAAAACATATTATTAATATAGTTTGGTCAAACGACCTACATATTATAAAACTAATATAATATTGAAAAAAAACATAAATGTGTTTATGAGAAAATCTCCCCATAAACAAGACTTTCTAAACGACTACATTATGGATTCTATTATTGTGTTTTTTGATATGAGAAGAGGGGTCTTCAATTTATAGATCTCCTAACTTTTCCTATAAGGAAAGAATAAACCAAATATGGAGAAAAATATATTTTTCTTTCATGAGAAGTAAAAACACTTATGGTAATGTTTTGTCTTTTCTTTTAGGAAAAAATAAACTTCAAATACGGTAAGAAAATCAGGGCAAAACCCTAACAAATTTGCCAAAGACCAGAAAGCGCTTTATTAGCTTAATCATTTTTACACTATTCGTTCAATACATACAAAATGTAGTAGCAAAAGAAATTTGAAAAAAGGGGAAAAGTATGATATACTCCTCAACTTTGTCATTTAGAGTTGATATACCTCTCATTATGAAAGTGACTCATATATACCATATTGTTATACAAATGACTCACATATACCCTTTTTACTCTAACGGAAGTGAATAAAATAGTTTTAATTTAATTTTTTAACTATTTTTTTGGAAAAAATATAATCCATATGAGATAATTTGATCCTCCTTACACATTATTTCTTGACGTTTTTGCTTCAACGATTAATTTAAATTTATTATTTTGATGGTGAAATTTTAAATTTCCCTATTTTTCTTGTAAAATTCATTATAGATTCCATTGTTTTTATTTTGTTTTTACAAATAGAAAAACTAAATTACAAAATAACCGCAAAAAATTAGTTATATTTTTTTTTATATTTACACTAAAGAATGAAACTTGAATAATGATAATCAAAGAAGTCAAAAAATAATTCTTGTATGAAAAAGATTAGAATATACCTTGAACTTTGCTAGAAGGATCATATATATACCCCTACATGAATATTTTTAATTTAAAATCAAAAAAATAAATTTAAAATAATTTTTTCACTTTCGTTACATGAAAGATATAAGTGAGACATTTGTATAATGATAAGGGTATATATGCGTCACTTTTATAACGAAAAATATATCAACTTCACGTGGCAAAACTTAGGGGTATATCACACCCTTTTCCCATCAATAAATCTACTCCCCTAATCATGATTAAAATATATTTTAGTTTTTCACCACAATTATCAAGATGTTTTGTTAGTTTCATCTTTAAACGTAAACATATAACTTTATAATTTATAAAAGTTAGTATAAGTAAAAGATACACATGTGAACAAAATATGTATTTAAAATAGAATAAGTAATGATTTCATAAAGAATAAAAGAAGTAAATAGGATGAATAATATGGTAAGAAAACGTAAAAAGAAAAAAGAGTTATAGAAGTAAGTAATTAAAGTAGGGAGTAAGGGGGTTTCCGTTAAATAGAGATTGGGTAACGTATGCGCGTGTTTGAGAGTAACGTCTCCCTTATGACCCCACCTGTCATCTGTCTATCTCTGTAAGTAAATGAAATTTCGAATTCATTGTGGCTGCAAATTCCTTTTAAGTATGTATCTAGTCTTTCTTTTCTTTAATTATAATTAATACTAGGATTAAGCAAAACCATAGTAACTGTTTCATTTTAATCCCGAACTAGTTAGATGCATGATTTACTATTTCTGTTTCACTCTATCAATATAATGTTTGAAGAGTTGATGTAGAAGTAGTGCGTGCTAAGGGACTCTACTAGTATTAGACATTTTTTTAGTAGAAAAGGAATATAATTTTGTAGGTAGAGAATTAAAGGAATGTAAAGCAAAAGGTATTTTGTGTTGCAGTAAAACACTTCACATGGTCACCTTCTGCCATCCCTTGTGCCCATTTCTGTATTCTTTAGCTTTTTCCCTTTTGCATTATTAATTTATCATATCATATATGTCCCACTTTCCCTTTTTTCTTTGTATCTTCCTTCTTTATCATTTGTTCATTCTACTTGTTGGGACTAATTGAGTGCTACTAGTTTCATTCAAGTTTTTTGTTAATGTGACAACAATGGTGTCGTCTCAACACTCTCCGTTCATAACCCGGTAATCTCCTTTACTTCTACAATGAAACGTTATTTACTGAGAATTATGATTTCCCCATCAAGTTCCTTGCTTAATTCATGAATGAATCTAGTGTTTTCACCTTCATTTGAGCAAAAAAAAAATGTATTTCCAATTTTGACTGTTACGCTACTCATTGTACCCTACAAAAGCCTCTATTTTTCGTTTTGTTCCTTATATAATTTTTTAGGATAGGATATGGTTTTCTCTATAATATATATGCTATTTCACATAATTGTAGAATGCCACACCTTTACTGCTAACCTCTGATTATTATTGGTTTAACCAATTTAAATATGCTAAACCCCTTTCTTCTTTTTGGAGAAATGTTACGCCGAACGATTAATATTACTTGTTCTCACATAATCTTTTACTATTATGGATTTGTCATGTCTTACTCGTTAACGATATTGATCATCAGCACTATATTCTCTGATGTTGCTGGGGATATTACAATTGCTGTAAATGGAGAGTCTTTCCTGCTGCATAAGGTACTTTTCTCTTTCTCTTTGTCTTAATAGAAGGTTGAGGCTTGTGTTTACTGTTTAAACCTACTTCCTTTCTCAGCTCTTGGTTACTAACAACATACTTTCAAATTATGAAGTAGATGGAACTCGAAACACATAGAATGGTCAAACTTGGTTGAGAATATTCCTCATGTCTAGTAGTGCCCTTCTGTACCTCGTTGTTGCCTTTGAGACCAACCTTATCCTTCGTAGACGAGGGCACTACTACACATCCTGTTCACCAAACTTTTTATTTTTTAAGCACCCAGTGATGATGACAGTGGAGCGTGCTATATTAAGTAAACATTAGCAAATTATAAAAAAAATGGTACTAATTTTAGGTGTGGCATTGCAAGAAATGTATTCCAGAAATCAATTTTGAGATTGTAACATGTGAATCTTGATCTATTCTGGATATTTCATCGCACACTATTTACTAATTCACTTCAATCCTTAATCAATATTATTAGTTAACTGTATATTTGATTCTTGAAGTTGATAATTGTGTTATGTCACTTGTGGTTTTGCTATAGTTTCCTTTGGTGTCTCTGAGTGGAAAGATCCGGAAGATGGTGGCTGATGCCAAAGACCCAAATCTCTCAGAATTGAATTTAACTCATGTACCTGGGGGGCCTAAAACATTTGAACTAGCTGCAAAGTTTTGTTATGGCATGAACTTTGAGATCACAACTACGAATGTAGCACGTTTGCATTGTGTGGCAGAATACTTGGAAATGACAGAAGATTATCGTGAAGAGAACCTCATTGCAAGAACAGAAACTTTCCTTGTTGAAGTTGTGTTTCCGAATCTTGAAAAAACGGTGGAGGTTCTTTCTTCTTGTGATGACCTGCTTCCTATTGCAGAGGAGGTTGGTATTTCAGATAGATGCATTGATGCCATTGCCAGGAATGCTTGTCAGGAGCAACTTGTTTCAGGTCTATCTCGTTTAGATTGTGATAGTGGATCTTTGGAACACAAGGAATGGTGGATCGAAGATCTTTCTGTTCTAAGCATTGATTTTTATGGCAGAGTTATCATGGCAATGGGACATGTTGGGTTACACATAGATAGCATAATTGCATCCTTGATGCATTATGCACAGGTCTCTCTAAAGGGTATTGGGAAACCGCAAATTTGGAATCCAGCGAGAGCATATCCATGTAAAGGAGAAAAGGGGCAGAAAACAGTTGTAGAAACTCTTGTTAGTCTATTGCCTCCAGAGAAGAGTTCAACTGTTCCGCTGAATTTTCTTTTTGGGATGTTGAGGATAGCTATCATGGTGGATGCCGCCCTAGCCTGCAGGCTTGAAATTGAGAGGAGGATTGCCTTCAGGTTGGAAATGGTCTTACTTGACGATTTGCTTATACCATCTGTCCAAACGGGTGATTCTTTGTTTGATGTTGACACTGTCAAGCACATATTGATACATTTCCTCCAAAGGATTGACCAAGAAGAAAATGGAGATTGTGGATATGAATCAGAAAATATTGATTCTCCAAGCCATGGTTCTCTATTGAAAGTTGGACGGCTTATAGACACGTATCTAGCTGAAATAGCTCCTGATCCATATTTGAGCCTTGAGAAATTCATTGCTATGATATCAGTTTTGCCTGATTATGCTCGTGTTATTGATGACGGACTTTACAGAGCTATTGATATTTATTTGAAGGTAAAACTTCAAAGTTATAGTTATAGACCTCATCTGATTATATGAATACCTAAAAATGATAACATGTTTTTTCTTTAGTCTGAATATTCTTCTACTTGAGTAGGCCCATCCGATGCTAAGTGAGCACGATTGCAAAAAGCTATGCGAATTCATAGATTGTCAAAAGCTGTCTCAAGAAGCATGCAATCATGCAGCACAGAATGACAGGCTCCCAGTTCAAATGACTGTCCAAGTTCTCTACTTTGAGCAGCTCCGACTAAAGAATGCTCTATGCGAAAGTTGTGGAGATACACAAAAGATGAGCAGCGGTGTTACAAGTGCAGCCATGTCTCCTAGAGATTCTTATGCATCTTTAAGGAGAGAGAACCGAGAACTGAAGTTGGAGATATCAAGAATGAGGGTGAGGCTAAGTGACCTGGAGAAAGAACAAGTGTTTATGAAACAAGGGATGATAGACAAAACAGGACAGGGCAAAACATTCTTAACTTCCCTTTCTAGAGGTATAGGAAGGCTTGGTATATTTGGTGGTCCTTCTCACGGTAAACGTAGGAAATCAGAAGGTAAAACTGCTAGGAGTAGGAGGTATTCTGTTTCCTAAAACAATTTGTAAATTCAAGAGACGTCACCAGTGTCGTGTTGCACATTATTGAATTTGTTTCTAAAGTAAAAAAATATGATGTTTATTCAATGATTCTCAGTTCTAACAATTAATATTCTGAACAAGATTGCACATCTATGTGAAAGAATATAACAGTAAAGATGGAAAGATGAGTGAATAAAATTCATCCACCATACAAGTGAAGTTATTGAAATTGTGTGAGAATAATCCTCATGCAGCCATCTTACTGAAAAGTTGTTTACGTATCTGCAGAAAGAGAGCAAAACATGTGAAGTTGTAATTCTGATTGATTTCCTCATCACAAGTTTATCACTTACAATATATTACCTCAGGGAGTTTCTGGCTGAAAACGACATCCAGTCGAGCATCCAGTGTGTTCTCACATACAATCTTCCCATCATCAGAAGCCAAAACTACTCCTCCAGAGCTTTCATTATATCAAAGTAAAATCAACTCCAAATAATTCACTATCAACATTTGATCAAATTTCATATGTTGGAAATCATATTAACTTAATTATTAATTGTTTAAAACGGACTAATATAGCATGATTATGGGGGGGGGGGGGGGGGGGGGGATCACAGCTAGTAACCTATCAATCCATTAAACCCCCTTTGTTGTTTCAGAGTGAGGGAGTGGGCCAATTTTTGACAGATTATATCTTCTGTGGATCAGTGGACACCCTTAATTTCTTCTGTGATAAAATGCCCCAAGTATTCAATCCTTTTCACCCCAAAGAAGCACTTATTTTGCTTGGAAAACAATTGGTGTTCTTTCATTTCTTGGAAAACAGACTTCAACTGACATACATGATCTTCCAAGGTTCTTCTATAAATCGGAATATCATCAAAAAATACCAAGACAAACTTTCTCAAAAATGGTTGGAAGACGGACTAAGCCTTGGAAAGTTGAAGGTGCATTAGATATATTCATAATGACCTGAGTGAGTCTTAAATGCAGTCTTAGGTATGTCATCAGTAGCCATTCTCAGTTGGTGGTAACCAGACTTGTGATCTATCTTGCTGAAAATGTTGGAATATCCTCCGGCCAGGTCATCCAATAAGTCTTCCATCATTGGAATGTGAAACTTATTCTATATAGTGTCTTGTTTAGATCATTATAGTCAACATAGGAACCTCCATGTACCATTATTTCCCCCCACCAATACCACAGGTGCAGCATAGGGACTGCAACTTGGCTGAACAATACCTTGATCCAACAATTGATTAACCAAGGTTTCTATCGCATCCTTCTTAATTAACTGTTGGATACCTGTAAGGTTTTCTATCAATAGGTTCAGTTCCAGATGCATGTAACACCATTCTATGGTCAAACATTCCTCTAGAGGGAGGTAGTTAAGTAGGTTCTTCCAACAATTTCGTGAACCGGATAGGCTAGTGTCAGTTTCAGGTGAGCTAGTAGCTTCTAATGCATAGCATTGCACATAATACCACATGCATGGAAGGTATCAACTGAATCATGCATAATTGGACTTGGTTACCTGATATTTTAGCCAACTTAATTCCCATCTCTTGTGCTCAAAATATGCCTGCCCGATCCTCTTAGCACATACCTCTTTCCCATGTACATGGAACTATTAGCTGCTGCAACCATATGAGGAATGGTAGCAATAAATGAACATCCCAACTTATCCACCAAGGAGGGATCAATAAAGTTATGTGAACATATAGCATGTATCCAAATCTTAAAGTGATAGTCAGTGACCTTCAAGGTATTTTGAATTATTCTTGATTATGGTTCTTCTCAACTTCCTGAATCATCAGTTCATTTTGTAGCTCTTCTTGAAAATCCTGATCATTATCTTGTAATTCTAGAATGTATAACTATCTTAAGTTCTTGCATTTATGGGCAATGGAATACTTCTCATAATGGTGTTTTCTCCCTTTGACTCTTCCTAGATGTCGAATGATTCATCAATTCAATCATTGTCTAGAAGAAACCTCCCATGCCAAGGTTTCAATTTATGTGAGAAATTATTACATCATATCACGCAAAATCACATACAACTGCAGTAGGTAAATCATTGTTTGGATCTCCATTTGACCGAGTACCCTTCGCCATTGATGCAAAGGAAGGAATGACTTTGCTATCACTGATAACAAAATCTCAAGAATCGAACCTAGTTCGAGAAATTCTATGTCAACAACATGAGTTCAACAGTTTCTTAACCTCTTATATGTATTCCATGCATCAGTAAGCTTATATGTTGGAATAATAATAGGGAAAACAAAGTGTTACTTCCTTCATTTCAATTTATTTGTTTTAATTATTTAGTTTTTAGCCCGTTTTAAAAAGAATATGTATTTTGGAAAAAATTCAACTTTTCACATGACATATTTAAGATCACAAGATTAAATGACATTTTGATTCATTCTACCTCTCTTTAGTAAGACCACAAAATTCAACATCTTCTTTATCAGACAAAAAAAAAATAGAAACACAATACAACAATATAAATTATTATGAAAAAGTCATATTAGAAATATCATATATAGCTACCAAGAATGGAACAAATGGAAGAGGAAAAGATGTGAGACAAATTGCAAATATTTTTGAGGAAAATTAGAAAAAAGAGAGTAGCTAGATAGGTACCAAGAGGCACGATGAGGATCAGCATCATTTGGAGGTGGAGGCAGATAGACATTATCAATGGTGACATTAGAGGCGCGAACTTTGGCTTTCTCTGCATACTCTTTTTTTGCATCCTCTACAACTGATTTAACTAATGAAACATCCATCTCCCTACACCTCAATAACAATGATGGCTCCTTCAGTCGCAACAGACTCTAAAACAAACAAAGAAGAAGAGTTATGTATAGTATCAATTAACAGGTTGATTGCAGATCAAAAACGTATATTATATTTACCTGAACAATCAATCCTCTGAGAATCTTTTTGTAATTATTCTTTTCACCAGAAATCTTTAAAAGTGCCTTTCTAGCAGAGTCCTTCATTCCACTCACCACATCATCTTGTGCTTGGAGAACTTTGATGCGGGATGCATTTAGTTGCATAGAATACTCTCTAATTACAAAAAAACACTTTCATATATGTATTAACACAACTATATAACTCTCATCCTATACATTAATTATAATTAAAACTCACATTTTCTTACGTACTTCCACCTGCTTCGTTTTCCTCTCATACTCTTGTCTCACCTTTTTCTTCTCAGCTTCAACTAATTGTAATTTCTCAATTTGAAATTCCTGCAAAAAGAGAACTAGGATCCTAATGTATGAAAATGCAGGGGTGGCTTAAGGGTGGGTAAATAAATCTAGTAATGCCTCTGCTTTTGGCCCAAAATTTTGAGTTCCCAAAAATTTTTAATAGTGAATTTTAACTTTTTATCAAGACTATTTTAGAACTTTGAAATAAATGACCCAAATCTTCATATTAATAAATAAAGTTTTTACATCAACATCCAACATCCAACATCCAACATCAATAGCAAACAAATCTCTAACCTCTTATTGACTAGAACTAATCCTTACTCTTATAAACAATAAGAGTAAGAATATGTACTAAAAATATGTACTAAAAACAAATTGTATACAAGACTAAAAAAAAGAATTCAAAATTAATAATATTTTTGTGCACGTGCTTTAGGCCACTAATTTTATTAATACGCCCCTTGTGAAAACGTATAAGCATAAGATTATTCATTTTCATTGAACTTTACATATTCACATAACTCTAATTAACAATATAGTCTGATGATGTGTTATATATTATTCATGTAAGCAGTATGTTTTTGGATGCTTACATTAAGTTTTCCAACAACTTGAACTATAGATTATATAAATGAATCTTACACAAATATATAAAAAGATTAATAAATAAAAAGACGAGAAGTAAACCTCCTCAGCGGAGACAGAAATCTCATTGGCCTTCTCTTCGGCTTCCTGCCGAATGAATCTGACCATTTGCTGTATTTGTTTTGATACATCAGTGTCATTCATTTTCGAATTTCTTTCCTTTTTAAAAATGACCCAAAAATAATGCAATAATTGAAACAAAACTTATATGCAAAAGGTTAAATGGTGATTTACATATAGATGAAAAAATTATTACGGAAATTTTAAATAAATCCATTGCTTATATGTGTAGATCCACCTCATATGGACATAATGCAACAAATTTACATGTTGAACAAATCCTTTTTTCGGGTTTTACGCACCCCCAACAACTTTTACACTTTGCTAATATGTTGTTACATTGAAAGAGTCATTCTCATGATATCCAAGAATTTATATTAATAAAATTTAAAAACAATTAATAGAAAAGAGTAGAGAATATAATTTGATTTGATTTATAAGATTGAATATGCTTTAAATTTTTTTTCTTTAACTACTTCATTGGCCAGTAGGTCATAAACGCTTCTTTAAATTTGCTTTAACTTTATAGTTATATATTTTTCCTCCTAGAAAGTCTTAACCTATAAATAAATTGAAGATGAGAAGTTGGAAATAATCGCATCACTCTACGTTATAGTTAATATTCAGTATATTTGCATTATATGTTGTTGCGTTGTTATTAATCCATATGAATGTATATTAAAATTTTCATTTTATTGCTCAATACAATACTTTTTACTAATACACTCAATCCAATACTAAATTAAAAGGCAAAAACGTTGTTAATAATATGTATATCCATGTGCTAGATGAATAGCTTATTAATCATCCCCATTATGAATAACTAATGTACTTGTTGCTCGGATGGCAAGCACCCCTCACTTCCAACTCAAAGGTTGCGAGTTCGAGTCACCAAAGGAGCAAAAGGGGTGGGAGCTCCTAGGGGAGGGTTAGAAAAAAAAAACTAATGTACTTGTCCGTGTTTTACGGGGTTATAAAAAAGATTAAATACATTTTAAAATAATTAATGTCACTACTTGATAAATAGTTTAATGAAAAAACATAAATTAAGATACGATTTTGATATTACTTATTCAAAAAAATTGCTAAAAAGAAATTCTC